CGGCAGTTATTGGTTGAAGATTTGCGATGGAACATTCATTGCATTACAAACGCAATTTACAACCATTATTCCATGGTTGTAGCAAAAGCAGAATTGCTTACAGCTTAGCACTGATGCATGGAAGCAACTTGAGTGTAGCGAGTGATTGAGAAATGACCAATTTGTAGAAACTACTGCTTCCATTACTTGCCTCTGTAAATACCTAACACGATCAGATGCAGAATTGCTTTGTCCAAAGCACACCTCTCCTCTCATTGTGCAAAATCCAGATCCGCAAGTTAAACCGTCACACAAGTCTGGATTTTCGGCAAGTGGTGTATGGCACCACATATTTATCCAAGAGTACGTTTACCAAGGTATTCACTGAAGGCATCGCATTCCACCCATCTCCCTCTCCAATGGTTTCCATTCGTAAGCCACCAATTCTGCAGCGTTTTAAGGCGTGCGTCGATCTGCCACTCTTTATGCTCTCCACATTTCCCCACTATGTGATGTCAACATTTGTGTGGAGGAAAGTAATCGCGTAAGGTGAATGAGCAAACTCAGTAAATACACTTGCTTGAAATCACCGATTTGCTTATTGTGACACTCTACATGTACCAACTACTACATTGCGTGGCTTACTTCAAATGCACCATGATTGGACAAAATCAGTGAAAGCTAGTACACGAGTTAAAGCATAGATAGCATCAAGTAAGGCAGCGTACAAGGAAGGATCGAGCTTGACAAAGGCTCTTTCCATTGGAGCAGCCTCTTCTACCACATTTCAGACATTAACAAATGGCATGATCTTTGGCAACTGGAATGGCGAGAACAATCAAGGATCATGAATTGCTATGTGACTCACCACTCTGTAGGGACTTCAATTTAGTTGATCGTTCTTCTAACAGGGGATGGAATTGGGAATGGTATGTAAATGAAATTTTCGACTAACAATTAAGAAACAAAATAAGTACATTTGAATAAACGTAAGGAATATTCACTCCAGTGCCATTTCATTTGGAACGATTCTGTGTTTGCCTCGTGATGCCTTCATTGTCAGTACGTAGTAATGGTGACATGATATATAAAAGCTTGAGGAAATAAATCAAAAATAGTTGCAATTAAGGGAATTCCTTTCTCGATGTCACTGCACCATCGCTTTCCACTTCAATGCTTTCTTGGGTAGACACGCTTTTAGATGCAAATAGGCGCTCCGAATTTCGGCCAATTGAGTGTGCACACGTTTTGATGCTTGCCATTGATGGTGCTGGAGTTGTTGTTCGCGTCAATGCTGTTGATGCTGGTGGTGAAGTCTACCTAGCTGACTTGACTGCTACAGTGCCAAATGAGTAAATCATGGTCAAAAGTCGGTTGACAGTTGATTGTCACACCTGCTGGGTAAGCGAATCACCCTATTCAATTGGCGGAATGCGGTGAGTTTGTGCACTATCCTCTCAACTGCTTTAGCGTTGTAGCCGCCAAATAAGTAAGTGATTTGCCAGTTATGAGTAAGCTTTACACAAACGCCACCCAAACCGCTGTGCCTACAATGCATTCAGGAGTTTTCCTCACGCCATAAAACTGCCCGCTTTGCTGATATGATTCAGCTGTGCATCCTCACTTCGATGTTTGTGCAAGGAAATTAAGAGTGGCGAAAGCGGTTCGGACCTCCTGATGGAATATTGCGCAACCTATGGTTAACTGAGAAGCAAAGTTTACTAAAGGAATCCTTGGGTGAATATTCGTTGCAAAGAGGGCAGCAGCTGCATCTTTGTTATTTCCCTTGCAAATCTCGTCATTTCACAGTGTGGCGGTGTTCCGAATTAATAAATCACTTAAGCAACTGCGGCTGATGCATTAAGCACAAGTTTCTATGCTTAATTCTGTCAATGTCTTGGGTTCCACAGCTACAAGCTCTGATCTGGACACGGTCGCTTCAGTCGCTTTCGATAAAGTGGTAAATGGAACAGCTGAAATGCGATTGATTCCTCAGCCTCTGTTGTCGGTTTGAATGGTTTCGGTGAATGACACCAGCCTATCTCGAAAAATCAACGCTAGTGTATTCGCCTTTCATCTGGAAATGGAGGACAAGTTTGGAAAATGCCGCTTCGCAAAATTGGAGAATTGCAAAACTGGTATGGTTTTAATTGATTAATAACGGTTGTTGATATACTTTCTATTTTAACTCTGACATTAGGCCAAAATAACTTAGGCTGTTCGAGTGGATACACAATAGCAAGAGGTGAACGAAGTTGTACAGGTAATTTTGTTCGAAATAAGGGTCATGTAAGATGACGTTGCTGCTGCGAGTCCCGTTACTAACACTACTTGCAATTCGCGGGCTCATTGCTACACTTTGTGGCCTCCACGCTTTATTAAAGTTATTTTACATTAAAACTATGAGTTGGGCACACATTGGTGTTAGCCGTTAATTCCAGACAATGCAAATAATTGATTGAGAGGCAGGAACGGCCAGATAATGACAGTGGACTTGTGCCGTGATCACTTCGTAGAAGAGAGAGCAAATGAGACCTTAAATCAGCTTATAGGTTGATTTTCCTGCATGTTGCAAAACGTTCACATTTGAGTGATTGGAAATAGTCGAAGTTCTGTGAAAGGCAACAAGTCATGCATCACCCTATATTTTCCCTTGACCACTGAACCAAAATATATATGTATGGACTCAGAAGCCTTATTGAGGAGCTTTTACCTTGAATATGAGTGTAGCGAGTGATTGAGAAATGACCAATTTGTAGAAACTACTGCTTCCATTACTTGCCTCTGTAAATACCTAACACGATCAGATGCAGAATTGCTTTGTCCAAAGCACACCTCTCCTCTCATTGTGCAAAATCCAGATCCGCAAGTTAAACCGTCACACAAGTCTGGATTTTCGGCAAGTGGTGTATGGCACCACATATTTATCCAAGAGTACGTTTACCAAGGTATTCACTGAAGGCATCGCATTCCACCCATCTCCCTCTCCAATGGTTTCCATTCGTAAGCCACCAATTCTGCAGCGTTTTAAGGCGTGCGTCGATCTGCCACTCTTTATGCTCTCCACATTTCCCCACTATGTGATGTCAACATTTGTGTGGAGGAAAGTAATCGCGTAAGGTGAATGAGCAAACTCAGTAAATACACTTGCTTGAAATCACCGATTTGCTTATTGTGACACTCTACATGTACCAACTACTACATTGCGTGGCTTACTTCAAATGCACCATGATTGGACAAAATCAGTGAAAGCTAGTACACGAGTTAAAGCATAGATAGCATCAAGTAAGGCAGCGTACAAGGAAGGATCGAGCTTGACAAAGGCTCTTTCCATTGGAGCAGCCTCTTCTACCACATTTCAGACATTAACAAATGGCATGATCTTTGGCAACTGGAATGGCGAGAACAATCAAGGATCATGAATTGCTATGTGACTCACCACTCTGTAGGGACTTCAATTTAGTTGATCGTTCTTCTAACAGGGGATGGAATTGGGAATGGTATGTAAATGAAATTTTCGACTAACAATTAAGAAACAAAATAAGTACATTTGAATAAACGTAAGGAATATTCACTCCAGTGCCATTTCATTTGGAACGATTCTGTGTTTGCCTCGTGATGCCTTCATTGTCAGTACGTAGTAATGGTGACATGATATATAAAAGCTTGAGGAAATAAATCAAAAATAGTTGCAATTAAGGGAATTCCTTTCTCGATGTCACTGCACCATCGCTTTCCACTTCAATGCTTTCTTGGGTAGACACGCTTTTAGATGCAAATAGGCGCTCCGAATTTCGGCCAATTGAGTGTGCACACGTTTTGATGCTTGCCATTGATGGTGCTGGAGTTGTTGTTCGCGTCAATGCTGTTGATGCTGGTGGTGAAGTCTACCTAGCTGACTTGACTGCTACAGTGCCAAATGAGTAAATCATGGTCAAAAGTCGGTTGACAGTTGATTGTCACACCTGCTGGGTAAGCGAATCACCCTATTCAATTGGCGGAATGCGGTGAGTTTGTGCACTATCCTCTCAACTGCTTTAGCGTTGTAGCCGCCAAATAAGTAAGTGATTTGCCAGTTATGAGTAAGCTTTACACAAACGCCACCCAAACCGCTGTGCCTACAATGCATTCAGGAGTTTTCCTCACGCCATAAAACTGCCCGCTTTGCTGATATGATTCAGCTGTGCATCCTCACTTCGATGTTTGTGCAAGGAAATTAAGAGTGGCGAAAGCGGTTCGGACCTCCTGATGGAATATTGCGCAACCTATGGTTAACTGAGAAGCAAAGTTTACTAAAGGAATCCTTGGGTGAATATTCGTTGCAAAGAGGGCAGCAGCTGCATCTTTGTTATTTCCCTTGCAAATCTCGTCATTTCACAGTGTGGCGGTGTTCCGAATTAATAAATCACTTAAGCAACTGCGGCTGATGCATTAAGCACAAGTTTCTATGCTTAATTCTGTCAATGTCTTGGGTTCCACAGCTACAAGCTCTGATCTGGACACGGTCGCTTCAGTCGCTTTCGATAAAGTGGTAAATGGAACAGCTGAAATGCGATTGATTCCTCAGCCTCTGTTGTCGGTTTGAATGGTTTCGGTGAATGACACCAGCCTATCTCGAAAAATCAACGCTAGTGTATTCGCCTTTCATCTGGAAATGGAGGACAAGTTTGGAAAATGCCGCTTCGCAAAATTGGAGAATTGCAAAACTGGTATGGTTTTAATTGATTAATAACGGTTGTTGATATACTTTCTATTTTAACTCTGACATTAGGCCAAAATAACTTAGGCTGTTCGAGTGGATACACAATAGCAAGAGGTGAACGAAGTTGTACAGGTAATTTTGTTCGAAATAAGGGTCATGTAAGATGACGTTGCTGCTGCGAGTCCCGTTACTAACACTACTTGCAATTCGCGGGCTCATTGCTACACTTTGTGGCCTCCACGCTTTATTAAAGTTATTTTACATTAAAACTATGAGTTGGGCACACATTGGTGTTAGCCGTTAATTCCAGACAATGCAAATAATTGATTGAGAGGCAGGAACGGCCAGATAATGACAGTGGACTTGTGCCGTGATCACTTCGTAGAAGAGAGAGCAAATGAGACCTTAAATCAGCTTATAGGTTGATTTTCCTGCATGTTGCAAAACGTTCACATTTGAGTGATTGGAAATAGTCGAAGTTCTGTGAAAGGCAACAAGTCATGCATCACCCTATATTTTCCCTTGACCACTGAACCAAAATATATATGTATGGACTCAGAAGCCTTATTGAGGAGCTTTTACCTTGAATAT